GTAAACGGAAAATTATAGATGCTGAAAGTTTGCCTAGGGTCACATATCTGGACTCAGGAAGCGGGGCCCTGATGCCTTCCCAGGGCCCTTGTACCTGAAGACACTCTCCGGTAGGATACACTGGGCTGTGGAGCGCTTGGAATTGACTGTAGGATTGACTGATGGAACTGAGTTGTCCACGGGGACTTTGGTTCTCCGTCTGTGAGTCTGTTCTCAGCTCTTAAGGGCAGACACTTTTACTTTCCCTGTCAAATGGCACACAGCCCTTCTTTCCAGGACTCTAGTGCAAGTCCCAGCGGTAACTAGGCAGGAAAGTACAGATTACTCCCAGGCCAGGGCTCCTGCCCAGCTGTCTTCTGGGCTTGTCTGACCCTATTAAGGGTGCTGGGCGCTTTGAAGGCAAACTGACTTTTTAAAAACTGACTTCCTGAACTGAGAAATAATTATTTTCGTATGTTGAACATGGAAAAAAATGTAGGTAGTGACGACAATGAACCAATGCAGGTTGAAAAACAAATTTTTTTTCACTGCCAAAAAGAATTCTTTCAGGATCCTCTCATATTTTCCATGCATTTCTGCAGCAAAAGAGCTTAAGGCAAGCTAACAAAGACAGAAAAAATAACACTTAAAATACACTAAAATACAACTTGGATCCCACATTTGTTAATATGCGAAAACTCCAAAAGTACTGCGCTTCCTTCTTAAATCTTCTGGAATTTACATTATGTTCCATAAGTAAGAGAGACAGAGACAGAGAGAGTATGTGTGTGTGTGTGTGTGTGTGTGTGTGTGTGTGTGTAAGATGTTTGACCAAGCTCCAAGATGAATATTTAATGGTTGTACCTACACAAATGATGTAGGTATTTATGTTCATCTGATTTAGAATTGTCAGATAATTTAAGGCAAATGATTCATTTGGATCTGATTTGCCCTGACTGACTTCCTACATGTAAACTCAGATGCTATTCTTTCTCTCTTGCATTTGAGGTATTGGCAGAGCTGGAAGTCACTATACCTACATATATTCTAACAGGAAGTCAGTTTTTACCTGGAAAGTTATTCATAGCTTAACTGTTAGTTACACTTGCTAGAGTTGGCTTTCTTTGTTCTGACTCACCTGCACTGAGAATTTTCAGTCTCTGAGCAATGAGGTCTGTTTTTCTAAAATTTTTCTCTATAGTGGTGAACGTGACTGAAACCCATTCTATTTAGTAAATTTACAAGGTACCTTTTATTGGTTTCTGTAATTCTCATATCCCTTACTTTTCCAGAGAAACACATTTGCATGTGCACACACATGCACATACTCAATTCAGGATATTCAGTTAAGATAGAGTTCAGTTCCCAAGATTTAGTCACTAAGCTTTTCAGCCCTCCTAGGTAGAGGAGTATGGTACCTAATGAGTTAGCCAGGTGGCAAAGAGGAGGGGTCAGCTAGGGAAAGAATTGGATATGAGGACTTGGGTCTAAGAGTAATGCTGTGCTTCCTGTGAAGATGGATATGGTCTACACCTCTGCTGCTCTATGTGGGAAATATTGGCTACCCATAGTTCTCAAATGGTTGAAATGTGGCTACTCTACCTGAAGAACTGTCTGTTTGTTTGAGACAGGGTCTCACTATGTAGTTCAAGCTGGCTATCCTCTTGCCCCAGTCTCCCAAGTTCTGGGATTACAGACGTGCGCTACCACATCCTTCATGAATTTTTAATTTAATTTTAATTTAAAGAGTGTAGGGTGTTTGTTATGGTTAGTGTCTGGGTGTCTCCCCAAATCGCATGCAGTCATGGAGCAGGCTTTTACAGTTTATGATTGATTTACAGTCCAATGTTGGAATTATGGATGTGAGTGCTACACCTGCCCTGGGGTGGGTAGTTTGCATACAATGTAAGGGAGGGAAAGAGGCTGCTAGCCTCTGCTCCTCCCTTTTGCTCTTTGTTGCTTTTGCTATTCTCCACTGCCAAGAACTGTAGCCGTCTGCCATGTACCACTCTGCCTTGGAGCCAGGCAAATATGGACTGAAACCTCCACAAACTGTAAGCTAAATAAAGCTTTCCTTCCTTAATTTTTCACATCAGGCATTTTGTCTCAGCAAAGAGAGAAAAGTAACTGAGACAGTGCTCATGGCTATCCCTCAGGACAGTGCAGGATATTCACTAGCTCCAGGCAATCAATGGTGGCTTGCATGCAGGCTCAGAAGTGCCAGATCTGCTGACTTCCCAAGTGAAATTCCAACTTTTATGAGAACTCTTAATGTTTAAGATATCAAGGCCAGGTATGGTGGTGCACATCTGTAATCCCAGGACTCAGGAGGCTGAGGCAGGAGTATTGAGGCAAGTCTGAGGCCAACCCCAGCTACAAAGTGAATTCAAGGCCAACCTGAACTGCATAGTGAAACCTTGTCTCAAAAAGACCAAAAAAGAAGAAGAAGATATTAGACCAGTCAAAGTAAACACACCTGCTGGGCCAATGGGCATCTAGTTGTCACTCTAGGTCCACCCCCACCCTCTTTTATCCTGCAGCCTGTTCTCTCTCTCCTACCTGGATAACCTTGTCACCAGCCACCTCCATCAGCACTGCAACTGAACCCCTCTTCCTCTAGCCCACGAAGTTAGAACATTATCACTTGGGACCACCTAGACAATGACCTCTGACTTCACTTACAAAATCTACCCTCCTAAGAAGGGAGTCCCTTCTCTCATTGCAGCTGAGCCCTTCTTAGTTCTCCCTACAAGACCTCTTCACTGCTACTCTTCAAATTATCCATATAAAATCCCTTTAAAAGGTCTAGAGTCTTCAATATTATCATTTTGGCCTCTGATTAAGTTCTCAGAGAGTAGAAGGAATGCTTGTAGTTGGTTCTATTTTATAAAGTAGTGTTCTCCCCAATTTTTTGGAACACAATAAAAAATACATTTTATATTACAACTTAGTACATACATGCTGCATACATATACCTTTAGGATAGTTTCACAAAACACTGTTTTTCTGGCACCAGGGATTGACTTCAATGCCTTTACACTGAGCAACATCCCCAGCCCAGTTTTATTTTTTATTCTGAGACAGAGTCTTGTTAAGTTGATAAGTTGCCCAGCTGGGCTGAAACTTGTAATCTTCCAGCTATCTTTACTCTGTGATGCACTCTAATGTTTTCTATATGTCTGTTCCTTTCTACACTCATTTGAGTCCACCAATGGATCCCTGTGCACAGTTTGGAGCATTGCTACAGACACATCTGCCCATGTTTAATATCCAGGAAATGTTAATTGACTAACCTGATTATTCTTGGTCATTCCCTCTAACAATCCTAACCCTCCTCCTGCCAATCCCCCAGGTCACTGGCTCCATTAGAAGCAAATCAGAGACCAGCACAAATGGGATTCTTTTCTAATACTCTGGGGGTCTTGGTACTCTTCACTTAAAGAACTTCATTAGACTCAGATTTTCTTCTTGGGAAGTGATTTACATTTTTTAAAAACAAAAAAACATCAAAGACTATTTTCCTTGCACCATATATGACTTCCCATGATTCATCAAAATTCTTTTCATAGCTAAAGGTCACTTTTTTACTTATGCATGGCATCTGCATGTGTTTTGCTGAAAAGGGTGTGGCTCTCAAAACAGATCAGGCTTTGCATGTTGTTAAAAAACTCAGGAAAAGCTGCAAGAGGGGGATGATGGGAAGAACATACTGAAAGAGGCACAGGGACTTCCCAGAAGGAACCGAGTTCATCTGGCTCTGCCCAAGACAGGAAAAGGTGCAAATGAACAACCTGAGCACGTGTACAGGATGGTAGAATTATAACACTTGTTATACACTGCTTCAGACAAAAACCACTTAAATCTGATGTGAATGGAGACAAGGTACGTGTTGTACTGTACACATTGCACTGACCTAGTAGAGGGCTCACATAGTAAGAAGTCTATGCCCCTTTTTTTGTTTGTGTGTTTCTTGGGTTTTTTCTTTTCCCTAACATAAGGGCTACAGTTTACATACAGGATCGGTTACTCTTTGTGTTACTGTTTCCTCAGCTATAAAACACAGAATCCCAGTGCCATGCTCATATTCTGGTGACCGAATTGGTTATATGTGGAAAGCACTGGGTACTCTCACCTCCTATGTGATAAGCACAGTGTTAGTAGTTGTTCAATAAACTGTCTAAGCAGAGATAAAAACACAATAACCCTTCTGTCTTCCAACCTCAGTGAAGGAGAAAATAGAAATACCACGTTTAAATAAGATTGAAAAAGTCACCTACTTTGCTGTCCTGTTCGCTCTGGGCTCATATCTGAAGGGACAATGGATACATCCCTTGTGTCCCACGCTTGTGAAAATGGCTCCCATCCCTTGTGAAAAATAACTAGCTTCCCATAAAGGAAGAACAAGGAATAATATCTCAGTCCCTAAATGAGGACAGAAACGTGAACTGTGTGAAAAACATAAAACAGAGCTTTTGGTGATACCTCGAGGCCAGATGGGGCTAGGAGACCACCCAGTGTCAAACCCAGGAAGAAAAACCCAGTAAGCTGGAAACCCCAAGCCCTGGGAGTCTCAGTATACCAGACGCAGTTTTGGGAAGAACAATTAAAAGCCACATGGGCAAAAATTGTTTTAAAAAATCCTCCGAATAAAGCCTACACAAATGAATGATTGTATGTACAAAAGTCAATTGAAAGGGGTAAAATTAAAAGCAAGGAGTCAGGCCCACGTAAGTGTGGTCCCAGCTCATTGTCTAGAGAGCTAAGAAATGCTTCTCATTGTGAGATGTGCTTTTTAAAAAATTAAAATAGGAATGGAAGAGAGGATCTGGACCTACTGAAAAGCACTCTACATTGCTGTGTTCTTATATGTACATATGCGTATAACCACATATCTTCACACTCCTGATACTCACGGTCAACATAGGTATGTTTATATGTATATATTCACAGAACAGTCTCTTTTTTTATAGTTTTTTTATTTTAGGTACTTTGCAGTGCTGGGGATCAAACCCAGGGCCTCGCTTGTGCTAGGCGAATGCTCCACCACTGAGTTACATCCCCAGCCCTGAAGTTCTCCAGGCGGTGACAATGAGAGGTTAAAAAGGTTATCCAGCACCAAGTGACAGTGAGCATCAAGCTAGACAATAAACCACAGCCTAGAAAACATAGAAATGGTGTACAAATCTGGGCGTAGGGTATAGTCTCAGTATAAATGGTTCAAATAATTGTGTGAAAAAGAAAAGGCCTGAGCCTGAAATAGGGCCTCTGAGCTTGGTCCCTGGACATCACGGGTCATAAGGAGCCACTTTGATGTCAACGGCAACTTTGCACAGAATGAGGGGAGAAAATGCAGCTGCTGACCAGATGCAATCACAGGGTCCCCCGGCTGCATTCTGCCCGTGTGTGCAACTTCCCCTGGCCGAGGCAGCCGTGAGGCACTTGGATTGATGGCCGCAGGTCAGCTGTGTACCCCGCAGCAGTTATGGAGGAAAGGGAAGTCTCTCCTTAGGCCCGTTACTGGTTTGGCTTTTTGTTTCCCTTCCTCTCCATTTCCTCCAGAGTCCCTTCGAATCGCAGGTTGTTTGCTTCTTACAATGTCCTTCCTCTGAATGACTGTTTTCAGTTTTGAAATCACCCCCTACCTTCTCACAGCACTTTAGTCCCATTTTTTGTACGTTCCACTTTCCTCTTCCTCGTTCCGCTCAGGGCCTGCTTTCCTTCTTATTCGGGGCACCTTCCGCAGACACTGCTCACTCTCCTCCCGGGGTAGCTCCTGCAGAGTTGCAGAACTGCAAAGGCTGGCAAACCTAAGTAGCAAAAGCCAACAATTGCTTTGATGCTAGGAGGGGGAAATGAGTTTCTAGCTATGACATGTGACCATTTAGTCCATTTTCTGTTGGTATGAATGAATAACACAGGAGGTAATTTTTAAAGAATGAAGCTTATTCCGCTCATGGTTCTGGAAGCTGGGAGGTCCAAGATGGACCTGCCGGGGATTCCACAGAGTCCCAGGGCAGTGCAGAGTGTTATGTAACCAGACAAACAGCCCTTAGCCCATCACGGCGTGAATGGCTTGATCCATTCATCCGGGCAGAGCCCTCATGACCTGATCACCGCTGAAGGATCCCACTCAGGATCCTACCTTTTAATACTGCACACTGAAGATCACATTTCAACATAGGTTTTGTAGGAATATTGGAAATGTGAAAAGCGTTCTCTTCATTACTGTCTGGCCTTCATCTCATACTGATGGTGTCAGACACTAAGCTGCCACATCCTTGGGTTGGGAACCTTTCCATGAAATCTTGCTAATACGGTGTCCCTCTGTCCCTTGCTTCTGCCATCACGGTTCCGTCTCCGACTCCTTCAAGAATTCTTGCGATTCTACTCAAATAATCCAGGAAAACCTTCCCATGTCAAGATTCTTAATTTTATCAGCTCTGAAAAATCCTCTTGGGCATATAAAATAATCTGTTCACAGGTTCTGGGGATTCAGATGCAGCTAGGGGAGGCCCATGAAGAACATTTCCATATCTTTTAAAACCAAAGAAAAAATAAACTTTTAGGTAGAATGAAATGGTTCAATACAGAATATTAGTATTTTGTCTTTATATGACCACAGGAAGATATGATTTTGAATATTTGGAGAAAGGGGCCCCAAAGTAAAAAGTACTGAGGTTCCAGTGAATTCCACAGGTTGCGCCATCATTAATAATTTATCCTGAAATGTTCTCATCAAGGAAATAAGGGAATGATTAGCATCCTCTGGGATACCGTAGTGGCTAGCTTCACGTCAGACAGAATTAGATTTACATTATGCATTATAAGCTCACTACCTGAGTGACCTTGTAACTTAATTAAACTTTATAAGCATCAGTTTCCTCATATAGGATAATATTTCCTATCTCATAGGACTATTGTAAAAATAAATGAGATAAAGCAGCAAAGTGCTTAATCCAGATCCCAGGCAATTAATAAGCTCTAAAAATGTAGCTGCTAGTCTTGTTACCATTGTTATCATCTTTATCATGTCTGTTATAGTTACTATTATAATTATTCAATAATAATCATGGTTTTTAATTTATATAGTTCACAATACAATCTGCTCTGAGCAATTTTTACTTTGAAAAATCAAAAATCAGAGAGGATAAGGCTCTACAGTTTCTACATTTAGAGGTTGGGGTCCCTTGTCCTAACAATAATCTGAACCCAAAAAGCTGCATCTAGTAGGCTCACCCCTCCCTACTCTTTGATGAACAGTACCAGAATAAGTCTATCAGAACAACCGGCAATCTAGTATGGCAAACAAGACTAGCGCGATTTTTTTTTCAAGATGCTAGTCACTGAGTTACACTGATTAATATAGAAGAGGCTACCTAGGCATAATTATTTAAATTTAAATTTATTAAAATTAAAAATTTGAATGCAAATTCTCTATCACATTAGCTACATTTCAGATACTAAGAAGCTGCCTGTGGCTAGTGGCTTACATACTGAATGGATAGATGTGGAACATTTTTATTATCACAGAAAGTTCTGTCAGACAGGGCTGATTTAGCCTAGCGTCTGTTACCCTACATAGTCCATGTAAATAAAACTGATTATTACTTACTATGATCTAACTTACCACAAAGCAACTAACAAGTGCACAATTTGATAGATCATAGGTACAAAAACCATCCAGAAGCTTTACCTCTTCTTTGGTTTCAGTTAGTTGTTTTAATTCTTTGTTTTGAGTATTTTGTGCGTATTCATGTTTCCAAGCTTGGGTCAATTCTCTGATGTTTATCCAACAAATAGCTACCTCTCTCAGGTAATTGAAGAAAATGAAAATAAAAACAAGAAGCAAATGTGTCAAACAAAATGTTTGATGACAACATTGGATAATTTAAATTTTAACTAGTCTTGGCTTTCAAAATTTTTTATTGTAATTCATAGGAAGAAATATATTTTTAAACTTTTTATTTCCATTAGTACATATTTGCAGTACATAATGATTACATTCACTGTGGGGAATAGAAACATGTATATAACACATTTCAATTCTTTTTTTTCCCTTCGCCATACATCCCCTTTAAAAAAATTTTTTTTGCTAGTGTCAGGTTCATTTATTTATTTTATAAATCCTTATCAAGTTAATTATCATAATCATCAATTAATAGCCAGACAAACAGATCAAAAAACATACAAAACACATAAGACAATTATACTAAATCAAACTTCACTTTTAGATCCATTGGCTACACTGGGTTACACAATAGTTTTTTCTTTTTTTCTATTGTTTGCCCGTTTTTGCACTTTATTATATTGGATTTCTCATATAAGAGAAGCCATGTGATATTTAAGCTTGTGTGTCTGATATAGTTCACAACATTACGGTCTCAAGGTGCATCCATTTTCCTACAGATGACTCAAGTTCATCACAAGAAATATATTTTATGTTATAACCTAGTACAAGCACAGCAAACACAACAGGGAGAAAAGTTTTGCAAAATAATACCAGTCTTACTGAATGCAATATATTCCATTTTCGACCTCCTCTTCCTTTTTCTCTTCTTTCTTCTCTTCTTCCTCCTCCTATTCCTTCTTTTGGTGCTGGTTATCCAAGACACTGATTTTATGACTCATGAGAAAATGACTGATAGTTTGAACAACGCTGATCTGGAGCCAGAGTTGCAAATTCAAATGCTTAAAGTGGTTGGACAAGTGAGTGGCACGGGCTGCCTGCGGATGGTGGGAATGTAGATAGCTCGTGGCCCTTGAAAAGGCAGGACAGTTTTTCAGCTCCAGCCAACCTTATCCATAGAGGAATGCGGTTAGACATTTTGGTGACACTTCCCCATTTCAAAGTGAAACAATAATTTTTAAAATTTTTGGTCTAGGTTGTGACTCAGTGAAGGGCCTCGCATGTGTGTGGCCCTGGGTTAGAACACAGCACACCAAAAGAACGACCTTTTCAGCTAAAGGAAGCAAATTTCTCATATGGTATTGGTCTGATTAAGAGTTAATTTTCTAGGGGCTGGGGATTTAGCTCAGCGGCAAAGCGCCTGCCTGGCAAGCGCAAGGTCATGAGTTCGATTCCTGGTACCAGGAGAAAAACAAACAAACAAAAGAGTTAATTTTCTAGTTCCAGGAGTAGAACTGAAAGCAGATCCCTTTCCTCTAAATGAGACTCTAGGATTCTCCTAAATGATGTAGCAAAATCCTTCTGCCTTCTCATGGCCCAGTAGAGAAGAAAGGATGGCTGCTGAGCTGAAAGAGGGGCTAGACCTTGAATATTTCTCCTGGAATGAGGCTTTGGGTGTCCACTGTCTGCTGAGAGGGAATCAGCCATTCCTGCAGCAGAGAGTCCTTGGGAACTGGTAGATCTTTGTCTGAGAAAGAGGAAGCTCCATAAATAGGTTTTGACTCAGTGCCGTCTCTCAGTAATGGCAATGGGTCATTCTCTTTGAAAATTCTCACGCTTACCTAAACCAGCTACATATCCAGGAGGTGGGTACCAAGACTCAAAGTCTATCAATTATTATGAAATATCTATAACAAAGCATACTTAGTTTTCCATCATAAATCCTGCTACTGGATAAGTAAAAGGTTTTGCCAGCCAGTTTTATATCCAAGGCTTCTGGGTTTCATCTAAATATGTAAAACTGCCAATATTCAAATATTTTTAAAAAAAACTCTTTATTTTGGAATAATTTTTAGGTTTACAGAATGTATAGAAAACTTGCAATACAAAGGGTTCTTGTATATGTTTCACACAGTTTCCCCAATGTTGGCATGTTCCATAAACTTGGTACATTTGGGAAAATGACTAAATTTATATTGGTATGTAACTATTAACTGAACTACTTCATCTGGATTTCACCAGTCTTTTCAATATTGTTCTTTTTTGTTCCAGAGTGCAATCCAATTTCTATGTTGCATTCAGTTCAACTTTTTTTCACCTACACAAAAAGGCAATTTTATATGGTTTTACCTAATACTTCAGAAATCAAATTAGTACCAAAGAAGAGAAGTCTTATTGTAATGCAGCCGTTAGGTCCTAAAGAGATTGTCTCAGGGAATCCATCATCAATATGCATTAAGTTTCAGTTACAGATGCTAATTTCCTCTCTACTCTAGACATTGCCATAGGCTCCTGAATCTCTTTTCATTGGCTACCATGTGTGTGGCATAAAGTAAATATCCAGCATACACAGAATAAATATCAACTGTTTGTCCATAAACGTGAATTAATTGCCTAGAAACCTGAAGAAAGGTAAGAGTCACTTTCTGCCCAGAAATTACTATCTGCTTAGTTTCATTGTGCTAGAACGAATACATTCTTGACATATCAACGTTTGTGTTAGTTTGCTAAGGCCACCATAGCAAAGTAGCACGTTCTGCTGGCTTAAATAACAGAAATTTATTTTCCCATAGTTCTAGAGGATAGAAGTCTGCATGTGATCAACTTGTCCCTGGGGCTGGTTTCTCTGGAGGCCTTTCTCCTCGGCTTAGAGATGTTTGTCCTCTCCCTCTGTCCCCATGTAGTCTTTCCTTGGTAGTTTCTGTGTCCTTTTTTCCTCTTCTTATAGAGACACCACTCAGATTGTGCTAGGACCCACCCTAATGAATTCACTTACATTCAGTTATCTCTTTAAAATCCCTACCTCCCAATCTAGTCACGTGCTTAGCTTAGGGATGCAACCTAGGACGTTTTGGAGACTAGAACTCAGCTCATAACAATGTCAAACATACGTGAAATTTAATTTAAGGGTAAGAAAAAGAGAGGAAAAAAAGAAAGAAAGATCAGAGGAACTTTGCTAAATTCAAGTATCGGTAATCCTCAGAAACCTGGTTGATCCTCTTTTTGGCTTTTTTTTTTTCACTACTTTCCTGCATTGCTAGACCTATGCTAATCACTGTCATACAGTGCTGCCTCGTTCTATGGAAATGCAGTACCTACAATGAGACTGATCTCTAGAAAGCCTTCTGCTAGTTTGATACAATACTAAAGAGCCTCTGGAAGGTACTCTCTATGTGTATCTGTTTGAGTGACTGTAGAAAAATAAAATACCTTCCTTAACAATTTGCAAAGCAGGAACTCAGGATCTGTGGTCTTGCTGCTGTCAGGGCCAGCAGCTGCGGGTGAACCTTTTGGATCAGCAAAATTCTGTGCTTCTAAGAACATGGGTGGGTCCAAAGAACACTATTCTAATTCATGTGTGTGTGTGTGTGTGTGTGTGTGCGCTCGTGTGTGTCTGTGCATACTCCTACACACAGCAGAGATCGTGTTTTTAAAAAGCTTATCTGCAAGGCTACAATCTTTGTTTGGAGACTTGAAAGAATGAAAACAATCGCAGTGTGCAGACACTGCCTGACAGGCAGGGGACTGAAAGAGAAATTGAATAATGAAGGGCCAAGAGCACCAGCGGCAGGAATCTGAAGTATAAGCCTTTAGAGCAAGCACTTTGATAAAGAAAACAAAGGCTGCAGGAGAAAAGCAATTAATGAGGAAGAAGCCAAGAGAAAAATGGGCCCAGGGAAAGCTGCTGGAGGACAGGCGAACAGATTGGAAAAGGGGCAGCAGGGCTTGGCCCAGCGCGCTGGCCAGCCTGGCTGTTAGTCCAGAATTATCAGGCACCTGAAACAACAAGGTCAAGAATGTGACCTGAACAATTGATGAAATATTTGTTTAGGAAACTGTATACTGAGAAGAGACCTAAAGAGTTAAATTGGGGAGCTTCCCTTTTCTGATTGCAGAATTGAACTATAATAGGAATTCAAGCCAAGCTATGGGGCCAGGGAAACTCTTTATAAATGCACTGAAGAAAACCCGAGAGGAGTCTGAGGGTGGGGAGAGGCGCTCCGTTCCATTTCTTGGTGTGGGGCAGAGGGCAGGGGAGGCATGCAGGGGACAGGCTGGGCCTCAGCCCCTCCCAGCACGGCCAGCAGTCCCGCCTACCAGGGCATCCGGATTCCAGGCCTCCAGCACAAAGGCCGTCCCCTCCTCTTGTCAGCCTTCCTGTTCTCTGGGATTGTGTGGCCCAGCCCTTTGATCAGTTTAGGGCATTATGTCTACGGACAACTGCTTTAAATATCAAGGTCTCAGGCGGGCTCTCTGTTCCCTAAGGGATTATGCCTGGCCCTCTTGGATTTCTGCTCCCCCATGAAGTGACCAGGTCTCTCACAGGTCTTTCTGATACAGTTTCAACTTTAGAAAATGCTATCAGGAGGTGGGGATAGCAGAAGCTCCAACATAAACCCTCAGTTTACTGTTTCTGGTGGTGGTGGCTGAAATGCTGTCATGCAAATTCCCTCTGTGGAGGGCAACCACTCACGGCCATGGCAAACCTCTGATAGAGGTGCGCAGGAAGAAATGAGCTGGGAGCCAGCGCTCTTGGACGGTTCCGCAGCTTATGTGCTGAGTCGTTCAGTCATTCAACACTCTCTGGCATTGCTCTTTTTTAAAAAATTAGCTTAAATTTGGCAAGTTCTGATGCCAGATTTTAAAATCCTATCATTCCCTCACTGCTATATATTCGTTAGAAAGAATGTTCTGCTTATCCCCCAGTGACATAAGTACTACCCATTCCCTCAACTTCAAGACATAACTGAACAGACAGGAAAATGAAGAGCCCTCTGCAGTTTCCTGTAGTAACACCATTCTCCGTAACTGACCAGGGGAACAAACAGCTGGGCGTCTAAGAAGGCCAGATTGTAATGCATCTGGGTAATGCCATTCTGATTTTACTTAGAGAAAATATAATGACAAATCTATTGTAGATGGGTTCATTTCTTTTGCCTCTTGCCATGGATCACTTCTCGTCCTAGTCAGAGGAAATTCCCCTTCTTCACAGAGGTAGCAAAAAAAGTAAAGCAGGTGTGAAACAAGAGAAACAGATCAACTTGAAATCTATGGAGAACTGTGCAAGATTTGCAATAAAGTTGTATTTGTTTAGTACATTTGGACCTACATCTGAATGTAACCTTGCTAAGTAATGATTCAATTAATCACACTTGGAAAAGTGCTCCAACTAACTTTGAGTGGTTTAATCATCATTATTGGACACACATTGCCAGGTCTTCTATTAACTGGACTCAGAGGGATTACTCTGTACTAGGCCTGTCTACTTAAATAATGCAGAAATATATGCACAGTGTCTCTTCTTCTAGACTGTACCAGAGAAATTTTTGAACATCAGAATCCCAGAGTTTATTCTTTTCCTGATCTTTGTTTTTAGATAAAAAAAAAGTATCCAAGACCTTGCCAAATGGTTCAGTCAGCCTTTTGTCACCATAACAAATACCTGAGGTATCCAACTTATATAAAAAAAAAGGTTTATTTTGGCTCAAAGTTCAGGAAGCTCCCATCTCTGATTGGCTGGCCTGGTTCCTTTGGGCCTGTGGTGAGGCAGCAGACAGTGCCAAGAGCACATGCTCACCTCATGATCAGAAAGTGAAAAAAGAAAGAGAGAAAAAGACTGGGGTCCCACAATCCCCTTTGACCTACAAATGACCTAAAGACCACCCACTAAGCTCCACTTCCACCACTTCTCAGTAGTGGCAAGCCATAGGGGCCTTTGGGGATACTCTAGCCACAGCACCAGTCGCTCAGTACTGCCACTCCCATAATATTTGAACTGAGCTAGAGATGCTCCATGGCCTAAGGAGATCTGCTCCTATCAGAGATCTATCTCTGATTGTTCCCAAACATGGGCTTTATTTTGGTTTTTTGATTGCAACCAGATTCAATACTCCTTCCATTCTGATAAGCCACTGCTGTATGAGACTGGTATCCAAAGTCTCTGACCACTTCAAGTTCCCT